CGTGTTCCCCCAGCAGCTCTCTGTCAAGCTGCTGCCAGGCACCCCTGTGGCCTTCCCCCCAGCCCTGCCCGCGGGCCCATGACCCCATTTCAGCCCAGCCTGCTGCCCTCAATCCCCACCCGCAGCTGTGCCAGCCTCCAGCCCAGGGCCCTGCCCAGCGGAGGGCCTTGCCTGGCTGTGGCCACCGGGTGGCCCGTGTCGCAGCCCAAGGAAGGACCTGGACTGGGGCTGCCCCTGTTTGCCCTGCTCCCCAGCTGGGGTGGTGGGATGGGCCCTGGAAGGTCTCATAATTCCCGTGGGATGCCAGCGTGGAAAGCTATAGCAAATGAAGTGTGGGACAGCCCAGAGGAGAGACGGTCTCTGGATCGAGGCAGTTGGCTTCTGTCCCGGCTCTGCAGGGCATTCATTTCTGTTCAGGCTGTGGTACTGAGGAAACACTTCTCAAGCTTTCACAGCTTGTCACAGCTACGTCTTGTTTATTTTCTGGACACACTGCCTGAGACCTGAGGCCTGAATTGCTAATTCCTGAGCAAGTTGAGCTGCAGCTGAAGGCACCGGGGGTTGTGCTCGCATATATAAAGTTTTGTATAACAGCAGGTACTCTGACAGCCAGGTCCCAGGCATCCCAAATGGCCTCCTGGCAGGTCCAGTGAGGTTTTCATTTCTCAGTCTCTTTGTGTCTGCATCTTGTTTCTGAGGGAGAGATATTTTGGGGTTTGTTTTTTTTTTTAAATTCTGGTACTGCATTAAGCCATTTGCAATGCTCAGCTGGTTGATGTGAGTAAAGCAACTGTACGCTCTAGGGATGGACGCTAAAAAAAAAAGGCTTAAATTACATACAATTAGGCAGGCAACGAGACCACATGCTGGAGGGAATTTTAGATAGGACTCTGCCACGGCCTGTATACAAAAGGGGTCAATTCGAATCGCACAATGTCCTAATGCTGAGATTTCCTAGTTTATGAGTGTTCAGTTTTGCAATCTTAATATTTTCACAGGGTTTTTGTGAATAATGTGCTGCTGCTTGTTCTACTGTTTGTCCCCTTTCCATTTAGGAGCAGGAACTTTTTTTTAATGTGTTTTCAACATGTTAACAAGAGGGTCCTTGAAAACATACAAGAGAGAGGTTTTCAGTGTCTGTGCCTGGTAATATCATTTTTAAGATCAGCTTTGAGAAATACCCAAAAGAGTGGTTTAGCAAAGACCCTGTAGCCTGGGCTGGAGCATGGTCTGTCTGATCAGCAGTTAAAGCCTAGCTCTGAGGTGTTCAAGACAGGCTCACAGAGGTCTGCATCTTTAATGATTTAACTGTAAGAAGCCTTTAATGGGTGTGCAGCAATGGCTATTTTAAAAGCCTAGTATCTTAGCCAAATTTTGGATGAAATTTTATGAGGAGTCCTAAAGTCAAATTCTTTAGCTGTAGGCAACTTGATGTCAAATCTGAAGTCATTGACATGCAGCACAAGGATGTTTGAAAATTTCCAAGGAAAGGTCAACGCAATATATTCTGGTTTAGTCTCATTCAAGGATGTCCAGCATAGAAGGTTTGAGCTGAAAAAATATTTTTTAAAAAACTACAAGTAACTAAAATTAATGTCTTGTAATGGCGAGGGTTGGGTTGTCAGTCCTGCTTCTAACTGCTTTATAGCATTTATAGTAAAATCTTGTAACAAATAGGGAAATATAGGGAAAAAATTCAACAAATATAAGTTGGGAAGGGAGCAAGAACAGAGTATCTTTGGACTTGTTTGCACTATAGTAGATTTCATGTTCAAGTAAGACAGTATTTTATTATCTTTTCTTATTGTTGAAAATATATTTGTAATAAATTTTCAAAACATTACAGGCTCTCCAGCTTTTCAAGTCCAAAACTCTAAGCAATTACACTTTCAGGTGCTTATCTGTTGGAAACCTTTGAACTTCTGTGGCCATTACCAGTGATGGAGATTATGTCTGTGCCAAGAATGTTTAGGTGCCTTCCAGTTAATTTTTAACCATTTAGTACAGGCAGAAGCATAGGTTAAAAAACCCAACAAAATAAACAAACAAACAAACCCAAACAAAAAACCACCTTAGACACTGTGTAAATTTTCAGATGGTAATCTGGGCTGAGATCTGGACTGTTGTTACTACACTGCAAGTGCCATCTGTTAATTGATTTGAAGCTAATTCAGATATGTCTATATCAGGGGCATCCATATATCCATTGTAGCATAGACACACATTCAATCATCTGAATTGTTTTGTCAGGTCCTTTAAACTAGTAGAGGATATATATCTAAATTAGCAAGAATTCACAATTTCAGTATTATGCAGATGTAAAATAAGAATGGTTCATATTTTATGTTTGCCAAAAATACTAAAAGTTAACTTTAAGTCAGGTGACTTTCTGCGTAGTGATACAATTCTTGGGATGCCTGATGTCAACATCTAGTCTAACCTCTGTTTGCTCTTTCTAGGTCTGCAGCCGTACACTAATTACAGCTTCATGCTTACTGCATGCACATCTGCTGGGTGTACTTCTAGCCAACCACTTTCAGGTCAAACTTTACAAGCTGCTCCTCACGGTAAGGGAAAAAGGCATTCATATAGAAGTGCAAAGAAATGGTCATATGGGCTTCTATTTTCCGATGGTTTAACAAGGTGCAAACCTCCACTATCATCCATCAAACTATCATGCATAAATTTACACAAGAGAATCCGTCTCTCTTGGAGTGTTTGTATCTTAACACACTCTTTGTACTAATGCCTGGCACTGCATTTCTACTTTCTTTTTGTCACAATTTCCCCAAGTTCATCTTTAAGTTACCGAGGTTAGAATTAGCAGATGATTTTTTTTTTAAAGCACAAATAAATATGCAGAGACAACTGGGCATATAAAGGCTGCAGCCTTTGGCCTTGTTCTCCATTAATCTGTAGCTTGTCTAGTTGGTTGCATTTGATGTAGGTTAAATTCAGAAAGTGTGTTAAATTCTGTCATTCTCTCTGGCAATGTTTTATGCTTTCATTACATTGCTGAAAGCAACAGCACAAACTGTGGGAAAGAGAAAAACCCAAAAACAGTGTCATTATGATGTTAACAGGGGTATGGCCAAATCCTCATCATATCATAGTCAGCTCGACAGAAGTGGAAATCTACTGGAGCGAACCAAAGAAACCCAACGGACTCATTACTCAGTATCGATTATTTCGTGATGGAGAACAGATTTTCCTGGGTGGCAGTGCAGACCTGGATTTCACAGATGTTAACCTGCAGCCTAACAGTAGGTAAGACATGTTAACAAGCTCTGGTAATATGTGAAAGGTGTTCAAAATATATACGTAAATCAGTCTCTGAAATGTACAAAATATAAGTTACTCTTTTAACAAAAGAAAAATCTCTTACCATATTACTTGATTTCTGAAAAATTAGTAGAACGCTTTTAGGAGGCTTCCAAGTGTTGGAAAGCGTTAATCAGAAGACTTCTCTTTTTTTTCCTTTTGTGAGAATAAGTCATTCTGATTCAAAGATGGGGAGGCTTTTGTTTTTCCTTGGGTGGTTGTTGGTGGCTTATTGGTTGGTTTTTTCCCCTCATGAAATGTACTTTAAATTTAAGTCCTTATATGGCAGACAATATTGCATGTGGTTTATAATGTTTCTGAGCATATTGAACATACTGGCTCAAAAGTGGCAGCTGCTGATATTTTTATAGAAGCCATTCTGAAATTGGTTTTGACACTTTTTGGGTCAATACTTCTCTCTCATATGTAAACTAATTTGAATTTTAGTATTACAATTATGATAATGGTAAGTAAAGAGTTACTTTTCTCACATTAGGAAAACTTAAAAGGTGAAAATCTTCATTACTGTGGCATTTGTAGTATTCTTTGTATAGTCTATTAACTTTAAATTGGTGAAAATAGAAATGTTTCATTACTGATATGCCTAAAGCTTCTAACTGTAGTGTCTACTGATCTTTTTGTGTTTGCGCAGATATGTTTACCAGCTGGAAGCCAGCACTTGGGGCGGCAGCAACACTAGTGATAAATATGTTATACAAACACCAGTAGGAACACCAGAGAAAATTCATGTCCCATATAATGTCACAGTAATTGATGCATATTCTATATTTCTAGCTTGGGACGTGCCAGGTAAAAATGTATTTCTGTGTAGTACTTTGTAGCAAAATGAAAGAATGGAAAAATTAGTGTATTCAGGCAGGCAGCTGAATCATTCTGATATTTTATTCTTTGTATTTGGTTTTAGTGTTTGTGTGATTTAAATAACCAGTATCTAAAGCTGCTGTTTCCTAGAGACATATTATTTTAATAATATTGACCTATATACTTGACATGGGTATTGTGAGGATTAGCTGATCAAAAATCCGTATGTTAATTTGATCTTGTAAACTATTATTGAGTGCAAGTATTAAGGGAAAAAAAAAACCCCAATTACATTGAAAATAAGTTTTCCCTTCTGTTCAGACCGAGCCAAGTTATCGGTAGGGAAACCTGCCAGCCTTTAGGGTTGATGATATCTTGATAGCTATCCCGGCAATTAAAATGTCCAGTGATCCTGCAGGTATACAATGTTGAGCTCTTTGACGAAAGGTGTAAGAGTGTGACACAGAGATGCTGTGCTAGCTTTGACCTGATTGAATAAATTGTATTCACCAGAGCACTGTAGTGTTATGTGGACATGTTACCTTGCATGTGTCCTTGTGGGTCAGCAAAGGCCCAGAAATATTTTTCCTCTCGTCACCAGGTTGTCTTGGCCTGCTGCAGAGGTAGACTAAGAAGGAATAATTGAATAATAGCATCTTGTTATATGAGAGACTGTGCTCTGTTTCATTAATTGTTCATAGCTTAAGTGATTGGCGTACTTTACTGATGTTAAAAAAATGATATGCTGTAGTTATTGTGGGACAATGGGAGCATTGTAAATGAACAATTTTAATTCTAGGGTAGTTCATCTCCAGCAAGGTGTTTTCCAGGTTCTAGATATTATTTTATTCAGTTAAAATGAGGTTAATTTTTTTAGAAACTTCAGATGTTTGCATATTGCAATAACAATAATATGTGTTTTATCGATGAACTCAGGGAAGTTTTTGATGTCTCCTCTTCCTAATTATTTAAGATGTTCTTTCCTTGCATAGCAGTCACAGTAGGGTCAATTGGCATTAAAAATAAAGTCACCTAGAAAAAGTATTTTGCCTTCAAGGCTGGGATCGCAAGTATTGTGGCAGTGCTTAGCAGCATTCACCCTACCCATTTAAGCAATGATTAATAAATCTATAATACCCTGAGCTGTCAATCTTTTAGTTTTCAGAAGCACAAAATCCATTATAGAAATGCTATAATATATGAAAAAGATTAAAATCTTAAATTAAACTTTTTCCCCTACTGCCTGAAAGGATTTAGAACCCAGCAGAAGGCAGGTGAATTCGAATAGCATATAATCTACAGTTGGTTTTATTGGAAAGTGACTCATGCTGTATTATAGGTTTGATAATGAATAGAATTTAAGGTACAAAATATTCAGCAACATTATAAATGGATTTAAAACATAAGAATATACTGGAAATGTGTAGCCTTGTGAAGAGTGGGGTGTTTCCCAGAAAAGCTTGCCCTTGTTGTTCTAGACCTTTTCTTTTCCAGCTGCTCAAATTCCTGTTACTTGCAGTAGGTTACAAGCCTGCAAGGAGAATCAGGTTCTGTGTTGTACATTCGGTTATGCTGCAACGAAGATTGTGTGTACAAAGGTTCATGTATTCCTGAAAGCCCACGATCAGAGGGGTGAGGAGGAGGCTGGACATTATGGCTCTGTAGAGGATGCAGGGTTGATGTATTCACACGGCTGTAGGGATCATTCTTCTCAGTCAGGGGAAGGCACATGTCCCTCTTCCCAGGTACTGGGACACAGCTTGAACACTTATCTCACTTTCGTGGATATTTGGTGACTCAGTCCCTTCCTCTCTGCCTTCCTGTTGTGGGGCCAATTTTCAGTTTTTAAGTCTAAACAAAGGGATCAATTTTCATACAGTGCCCCTGTTGGATAGACAGGAAAGCAAAACTTTCTGTTCCTTTTGTTATAGCACCTCAGGGCCACTAGCTGATCGTTCTTACAGGAATGGGGACTACTAACAGCAGAGAAACATTACTAAATGCTATTAAAAGAAACCCTGTGTGCAGAAGTATAGCTATATGCAGAAGCTAGGAAATTAATTCTTGACCCTTCATAATCCTGCTCGATGCTCATTCTGAGGCCGTTATGCTCCTACTGCTTTTTCTCAAGAGGAAAACTGCAGGGGATACGGGTGAACGTTTATTTTGGAGGTTCTGATCTTCTGCAATGCCATACATGCCATTAACAGGTCCTATGCATGCAGAACTCTGGGGCCACATGCATCTCCAGCTTGGTAGGATTAGCCAAAAGGGTACACAACTTTTTATCCTTATTTGTGTCATTATGCATGGAGTAACTTTTTTTTTTTTTCTGATCTGTTTTTTTCTGTCTGTGAATCCCAGTTTCACAATAGGCTATATTGAGATAATATCAGTTTCCCTTTTAAAACCAGAATGCAGTTTCTATTATAAGGATTGGCAGTCCCTCTTGGATGAGACAGTTGTTTTAATTGATACAGTCTCCATGAAAAAAGTGCTTTTTATTAACCAAGTTTTGATGAGAGGGTAGTTGATCATAGTGTCTTCCTATATGTGGATATCAGGGGTGCTTGGCATTCTGTCTTCTTATCTGCTGTAATAAATTTGGATCAAATATTCACACTCAGGATTAATTATAGGCATCATATTACAGAGGTCTTCCTTTTGGATGGCTTTAATTATAATGTTTCAACATCTGTAATGTATCTAAATCTTATAACTTTATAGATATGTAACATTTCAAAACTCCTGACTTAGCTAAATAGCAAGGTGGCCAAATAGTGGTTAAAGTGATGGATTCAGAAAAAAATATTTGACACACCTCACTCACTATGGAAAATAGGACTTTATTTTCTGAAATAGGTATCCTATTATCTTGTGTTGCATTGCCTCAGTGCACAGACCTCAAAGGTACGGTACATTTCACTGATATGCTACAGAAGGATTTGTTACAATTATTATGGAACAACTATTAGTGCCATGGATAGAAGCAGAAAAGCTGAATGAAAAAAAAAAAACCACCACATAATTCTCCCAAGGCATATCCATAAATGTTTTCGATAGGTAGGCAGGTAACCATCCTGCATTTCAACTCATTGACAACCCCACTGGTCTTCACTGGGGGCCCGATTCTTCTAGATATCTTCAATTGCTGGTGATACCATGAAAGCGGAACATGCTCAAAAGAAATAGGATCCTAGGTTACTGGCTTCAGACGTTAATGATCAACTGGATTAAAATGTCTTCTTTCATCATGTCGTAATGCTCCATCCATCTCTGGGTTTGCTTATCAATTAGAATGAAAGTTGTGTAACATGTCTGGATTCCTACTTTATTCTTCTTGGGATCGAATTTGGTATTTGAATGACATTTATTTGTCTCTTAGCTTTGTCTCTTAGCTTCCCTAGCTAACCTGGTTTCTCCTTTATTGGTGGCCTAATAAGTTCTGACTTTTGCTAAGCCAGTATTACCTTTCTTCATTTTTGTTTTCTCATGTAAATTATTGTTTGCTCCACATCACTGTAGGACAAATTTTGAAGCTCAATGTCTAAAGTTCTGCATCTTGAAAGCAGTCATTATCTTCAGCTGTTATTGTCTTCAGAGTCTTGTTGGGAATACTTGATACAACCAGAATGAGATATCTGGATATTTGAAGCTTAATGTAAATACTTAATCTCAGGAGGCCAAATAGATTGTTGTATTTTGTGAAGTTAAATATTAAAATATAACTTTACACTTACTTGTTTTTAAATAAAAGATATGACATTCTTATTTTAGTATTTGTTTAAGTGAAACAGTTCAACTATTTTGCTTTAATTGTGATTGGGTTTCACATCATATTAAACAGTTTTTCAGCAATTGACTTCACACAGATTTTTGGTGACTGGTCTGTAAAACAGACAGTGGCTTTTTCACCCCAATTCTAAGCATCTTGTGCTGCAAATTCTATTTTATGAACTACCCTAGTTTTGAAGTACACAGAGCCATCACACCTAATTTGCAGAGTTTTGCACAGAATTGTCCATTAAATGATACCCAAATGTGCCCGCAAAAAAACAAGGTTTCGTTTGATTGACTTGTCCCATTGTAAAATGTGCACCTGCTGTGAAATGAAGTCACAGGGAAAAAAAAAGTGGAATAATTTAACTTTTTTATTTGTAAAGATAATCAGGGTTTTTCTGATTACATCTTAACTTCATAAATGTTAAATAACCTATCAGCATCTAGTTGTTGTAAATTATGAAAAAGAGTATTGCTGGGAATATTAACCAACTAAATCCTTGTTCTTTAGTGAACATGAAAATGTGTTATGGCAGGTTGTCATTGTGCTCATGGTAACTTTGACACCAAATAACAAAACTGCCATTTGCACTTAGGGTAAATTGGTTCACTTGTGCTTTTACGGTTCCTTTTATTCTGACATAAATTTATGAACTCTGGAACTAACCAAGTCGTGTGGTTTCCCAGCTGACTTTAACAAATATGCCCATTTCATTTCCTTCAGTCATCAGAGCACACAAGGTAGTAGTTTCAGACTGGCTGCAGATGCTGAAGGCTATTCTGGAAGAAAGGGGTTTTTTTTCAAGTTTCTGTGTCGTACCAGCATATATTTTTTATTTTTCAGATTATAAAGTGATGCTTTCATCTTAGCATTTGATGAACTTCATCAAATTGTAGTAGGATTTCCATTGGACATTGGAATTTTTCAGGATGTTTATTTAGTTTTATTTAGGATTTCGTGTTCACTTCCTGAGAAAATGTTTTCTCCTGAGCATATTTATTATTGGTATCATTCCTAATATATTGCAACATTTAACAGAATTTTAAGATTTTTGGTTTTGTTGTTTGGGGTTTTTTTAGTATTTCTGCTGAGAGATGGACTGAACATTGGAGATGGATAGGTCAATTATTTTGAAATAACTGTCTTTTGCTGCCTGTTGATGGCTGGATTCAGCTATCCTTGTTTGTATTTAATATTCCTTGGGAAATCCAGCGTTTTGAATAATTCCAATTTCAAAGGTTTCTGGTGAATTTTGCCTAGAATAAATGCACTGATCAGATGAGCAAAAGTGAATTATGTGTCACTTTCATAAGACAGTGGGTTTTTCTGGCTGAAATATCTGGTCTGTTATCAGGACTGGAGAAGAAGAGGACCTTAGCAGCAAGATTAAAGAAAAAGTTTCTATTTGATGTGCTGTCTACCATTTCAGGCTCTTACGTTTGGATATTCTGTTGTGTCCTTTACAGGCACTCTAATTATGGGAGGGGGAAGTAGTTTAGCTGTAATAATATATCTTTAATTACTGGTATAATTATACAATGCACACTCAAGTGTGCTCTTCCAGAGCATTTCATCTTCTATTTATCACAGAAAAAAAAAAAATTTCTTTGTTGCGGAAGCCCTCTACTTCAAGATCACCTCAGAGGTTTACTCTGTTACATCCTACATGTCTTTAAAAGTTCTGTTTCTATTATTCCATTCTTAATGATTAGATTTTGGTGTTTTCCTTGAAACTTTTACACTGAAAAAGGAAAATTTTGCAGTGGGATTTTTGCACTTTCTGTCTCCTTCTCCCTTCACCTCTTCCAATGACTAATATCAGCATCTTTTTTCTTCCTGTAAGCTGAGCAGTTGAATAAGATTGGAGTCATGCCTCCACTTCAGGGCTAGTTTTTCAGCTTTTTAGTGTAACAGCGTTTCCTTTGTCTAGCATCTAGTGAGGCAGCAGCCTCTTATTTCTTTGGGATTTTTATATCCTCTTTTTCTTCTGAGAATTGTAAAAACTTGGTATTTCAAAGATTTTTCTGATCTTCCAAGGTATATCAGTTGTTTATAGTATCACAAAGAAACTTGAAATCTCTCTGATTCCTTGTAAACTTTTTTCTTTCATTAATGTGCATATTCACATACATACATACTTGACTAAAAAAATCCATCTAAAAAGATGCACAACAATGGGAAAAAAATTGCTATTTTTTTAGCTTTGGGGTAATGATATCAATGAGATACTTTATCAGAAAAGGACCAAAACCACAATTAGGAGAAAGAATGGAGTTGTTTTCCAAAGTTACGAATGGAAAGATTGTCAAGATCTGGAAAGTCTCAGAACTTCTCATAGGCATCTGGTTCTTGGTGCAATCACAAAGACATGTCTGTGACATCTAAAGTAGATGTTGTGCTCTTACTAATTAGGTTCATCTTGACTTGTTTCGGAAAGTCTACTTGTTTCAGACATTGTCTACTTTTATTTTTTGGTACTTTGTTCTTTCTTAAGACTGTGCCTTACGTGACTGCAGAATGAAGGAAACACACTTAACAGACACTCTTCTTTGGTTATTGTCTTGGTTTTATGAAATTGCTGCTGTCTGCATGGAACAGTCTATAGTGGACAAAAAATAAAAAGCCTACAGCCCATTTCCTAATTACAAAACCAATCCAAACAAACAAAAAACCAAAAACCCCTTGAGAAGTCATGTGGGAGGAAACAAGGGCAGATCCAGGAACCTCTGCCAGTCATTCTGAGGGGGTGGCATATGGCTTAGCTTGTTGTCATGGAAAAACTGATTTTTCAGCTTCTCAGCAGAACTGGAAAATTAAGAATTGACAGCGTGGGAAGAGGGGGGAAAATGGGGGAAAAAGTTTGAATTAAAACAAAATATTAAAAATTGGGGTTTTTTTTTCATCAAACACTAAAAACTGATTGTTTTTATATCAGTTGAAATGATATGTTTGGTGGTTCAAGCCAGTGTATTATACTTTACTGCTAAAGCAGGCTAAGAACCTACACTCAGCTACTGCTGCTGGGCTAAGAAGGGATAATTTGCTGAATGGTGGTAATTCACTTTTTTGATCATATGAGTCTATATTCAAACAGCAGTGCTTAGTAGTTGTTGCCCCCCCTCCCCCTTCCGCAAAATAAAGAAATAAGAGCTGCCTGGTTCCCAGTCATAAGGTCACTCTTCCCAGAAGTAGCAACTGCAACACAGGCATTGACTGAATTGAATTTTGATTTTTAACTAAGAACTGTAATGTCTATGTTCTAGTTGTGATCTGCAGATGGATCTGTTTCCAGTTTAAATTTAAATGGTTGTAGTTTCCAAAAGAGGCAGTATGTAAAACCTCCAGAGCGGGCTTACATTTAAAATTGCATATGATGAGTGCCTCTTTGAAGTTGTCCTGCACTGTTGTTAGTATTTCAGATAATCACTGGTTCTTCTCTGTTTCACAACAGGGATATTCATTGTCAGTGTGCCTTTGGAATACAACATCTTACTAAACGCGAGCAGTCCCACTCTACTGGTGAAGCCAGTAGGACGCGAACATTTTGCTTTTGTCGATGGCCTAGATCCCTACACCCTGTATGAGATAAGAATACAAGCATGCCAGAATGGTAAGATGATTTTAAAAGACTCGCCTCTGTGACTGCAAGGAAGTGCAGATTTTCCAGATAGATTCAACTCAGCAAAACAGATAAAATCTTATTCCTACATTGGAGTCTAATGTTTACCTAGTAAAAAGAAGGCCTAGCACTGAATGAAGCATTAAATATTTCTCCATGTTATATCATGAATATTTTAAATGGAGATTTAAAAAATGCATTTTAGGAAATATGTGCCATTTTATTAAAAGCTCTTCACAAATAGCTTAACAATTTTTGAAAACGTGCATACAGAACAAAATCAGTTCTGTAAGTGTTCACCAAGAAGAAGTAGTAGTCATAAAAACAGGAGAAAAGAGCCCAAATATTACAAAATTCCTTGACTTTAGTGGAAATTTTCAAAATCCTATTGACATACGTCTTTCTAAAATGACACTTTGGATACAATTCTCTTCTCACTTGCACTGGTGAAAATCAGGAGTAATTCATCAGTGGAGCTGCGGTAATTTAAATGAGTATTTAATAATGAAATGAGGTGAGATGAGGCACCATTTCATCAGGTTACTTGACATTGATTTGCTTTTACTGTATTTTTTGTGGAGGAAGAAGCTCTCATCACTAACTAAACTTCTGGTTTTGTAGGTAGCTGTGGAGTGGGTGGTCAAACATTTATAAGAACTGCTGAAGCACCTCCTAGACAATTGAGCCCACCTATCGTTAAAGCAATGGGATCTACACTCATAGAAGTGAAATGGGCACCACCTAAGAAACCAAATGGCATCATTACTAACTACTTTATTCACAGGTAAATGCTTTTGTCACCTCAGATTCTTATTGAACTGTTCATTTCTTTATTCCTTGATATACTATGAGGTGAAAAATAGTGTAGAAGTATATGGTAAAATAAGTACTACATTTCAAATGCTAAGGTAAGATGCTGATCTATGGATGGACAAGTTGAGAATAAGAGCTGAGACAAGAATCATCTTCCTCATCTACAAATAACAAAATGCAGGTGAAAATATATTTTTAAAAATTCTAAGGGCCAGCCAAAAATTGTAAGATAGATACTCTCACTGTATTTACCCAGACCACTAGGTACATTCTTCAATCCTCTCTGATAGACAATTGAGAATTTTGGAATGGAAATAGGAGTAATTCACCATTTCTGAGATTTTTAAAAGCAAAAAAAGGTATCTGGGTTCCTAACACAGAGCAATTTTCCAAGATAAATTATGTTCCTGTTTGTTAGTAATCTGGAGTGTGATTACAGTGCATCTCTTTATGTTCCTTGGTGTTTGTATGCAGCTGGCCTGTCTAGGTGGTTGACTGACGCATCCTCAGTCCATATGAGGACCTTCCTAAGCTCTGCATGAGGATTTTTTCTATATAGGTAGCTGTGTTTAGGGAAGTCTCGATGTAGCAGAGCACTGACATCTGCTGTGCCCGTTGACCCTTTTTTAGAAACTCACTGAAGGGAGCTTCTTGAATAGCTTCAGAAAGTCAGAGAATATAAAACTCAAGCCATGTATTGGAGATGAATTTAAACTCTGAAGTTCCTGGGTTTTCCAACTCTAAATATGTGTGGCAAACACATGCTGGGCTGAACCTAGCCTCCCACAAAGACTTTGGGACATTTTATTATGTTAGAGCCGTGACTGAGAACACAGGGAATTGAATTACCTTTTGGAATCAGGAGTGGTAATTAATATAAATTCACTTTTGCCTTAAACACATTAATAGTCTCTAAAAATTCCTGCTCTCTTGAAATATCCTTTTGTTTGCTTTTTTGCTTTTAATTGTCTGACCAAAAACCCCAAGTCCCTCCCCTGTATAAAGAGGAATAAAGCGTATGTTGTAGCCCAAGATATGTCTTCACTCTGTTGGTTTTGTAAATAAAGCTGATGATTACTGCTGCTATTCCATGGCAGCCATAGAAAGGGAAAACAGGAAATATAATGCAGAAAGCCTGCTTCAGTGAAAAATACTGTAAATTGAATTTGACAGCATTTGATGGCATTTGATTATTCTAGTCACAGCCAAACAATGATATAAAGAGTAATATGAAACAGAATGTGTTACTGCCTAGCAGACTCAAAAGCAATAAACCTTCCTCCAATGTGACACAATCACTTCACAATCATAATTGTAGCCTGTTTGATACCTCTGAGTACAGCAGAAGGGCACTGACTGACATAGATACATTTTGTTTTTTATTTAAAGTGAAATGAAAATGGCGCACTGGGGCTCCAGATACAATCGTTATATTCACCTACATAGGCATGAATCACTTGGCAGTTATTTCAGCTGAAGTTTAAATGTGCTTAGACAACAACAATATCAAATCTTTCTCAGATAGCTGCAAAAAAATCAGAAATGGGATGTAAGCACATAGTTCTTTTTCATTTTGTAGCCACACATAGCCTTACATTGTTATAGCAGCAAGACTGCAGTGTTTCTATGGGAGGTTATGGCATGTAATTTCTTCTTCATCATGTGCCTCTTCCTTACTGCATCACCACCAAAATAAATTCATTTAACTCAAAACCTGAAATGCTTGGGGAGCTAGTGTGTGTGCAGATTTTTGCATTAAAATGGCTGAATTTGTGCTTTCTTCTAGAATCATAAAAGCACTTGCAAGTTTGCAGCCATTTTGTTAGAAACCAAAAAATTAAAATGTTAGTTTATGATAAAGGAGATGGTAAGATTTTATTTTTGATTCATATAGCAGTTTTAAACACAAATCTGAGGTTTTAAAACTTTTCTAGCAAGGACCACAACTTAGAAGAGATTGTGAATGAGAAAAGATCTGGTTCATGAGACAATCGCCCAATCTACTTCTCTTCCCATTCATCATTACATAACATCCCTGTGACAACCACAGAAATTGCTAGTCTGGAAAAATAATATTATGGAAATAGGTGCTGTATTTCTTGCTGTATTTTAATAAGATATAGGTCACATCAGCTAATGGAACTGCTCTCTGTTGACCACCAGCATGCACTGTGTAGGATGCACATGAGATGACTCTTAAAGAAATATTGCCTGTAAAATTAGAAGTATTTTTGTTCATTTCTTGCTGAAGGGAGTGTCTGAATTTCTGTCAAATTCTCTATGTCATGTTCAGTAAGATTATATTATTTGGTATATGTGTGTGAGATTGTAACATAGCTCTTATTAGCTGATGGTGAAAACAGCAGAAAAATCAACAGGCAATTTAAGACAGAGGACATGTCTCAGTGTTGTGACTTGCAGTGTAGAGGCTTCTAGACTGACTCTTTATGATTAATTCATTGCTTACCCTTATACCCTTAACCATGAGCTGCACCAAAGACAGCTTCCAAGGCACATATGTTAGTAGACCGATTATCATAAGAATCCTTATGGATGGATATGTCATTGAGTATAAGAACTCCTGAAGGGTTTTATTATACTTGTAATTGATATAATACCTAAACTAGCATATTACATGCAATAATCTCAAATTCCTTTTGTTCACTTTTTGACATCAAAACTTGTTAAAAAAAAAAAAAAAGAAAAACTTACAAACTACATTAGTATAGTTTTGATGAATTCAAATGGTGAGGCTGCTTTGGTTAATTGGACATGTAACTGTAGAGGGGGAGCATTGCTGATGTTACATTATTCCCCCACATTTGACAGTGTGTGATTCCCCAGTCGTTTGAATTTTACTCCAGGAGTTCTCGGTGTTTCTAGAAATAACTCACTACCATTCTGGCAAGGAAAACAGCGGGCACTGCTAAAACATGTACTTTTGTTGCATGGTGAAAGGTAAACATGTGAAGAATAATTCTGGGTTGACCTGCAAGACCTCAGGGATTCACTGAGTCTCCTTCCACATAAGAAAGCCGAGGGGTGAGTGTTGCAGTTAGTGTTGCTGCAGTTGTCTGCATACAGCTCTATAGTTATCTGTCACAAAGAAGATTATATTCTCCTCTTTATGTCATCTGGCTCAGATTGGCAGTGGGGCAGGGAGAATTTGTCCTTATAAAAATAACTGTATCTGAGCATCTTTAAAATGAATGTAAGCAGCAAATCAGACTATGCAGATTAAGAGACAGCTTCCAGCTCTTGGAAATGTTATTCTCCTTTGCAGCTCATTGTACATAAGAAACACTTCCAGTTAAATGAGCAGTTGAATCTTAAATCTTAAGACGATTGAAATGATTACAGACTGTTCAACCACTTCTGTTCAAAGTTTATTCATACATGAAGATATTCTGGTTTTTAGCACTACAGATGGAACCATTTACCTAACCATAAGTTTCATTCATTAAATATTCAGCAGTAATAAGATCTAAATACTTAACCACACTACATTGTACAGCTTTGCTTGTGGATGAGCTTGCAGTTGGTTGCATATTTGATCTTTCAGTGTGAAAAAACTGTTTATCACAGAGTTTTGAAAATTTATAAAACATAAATTTGTGTATTCATTTAAGCGCCATACTGCTTGGTCAGACAAAACATAGTGAATGTGATTTTTATTGCACTAAAATATACTCTTTTTCACTTCTCTACAGAGATTTTTTTTAAAAAATCTCCCTTTTTCTGTAG